CCTTCGCAAAGAAGGCTATGTTTTCGATAGCATTTGTGTGTCGGTCTGTCTGTAAACATTGAGAAGAATTGTACTGATATTTGGTAGGTGGGTATATCTGGAGGACATCTCAAAATGATTAGATTTTGGGCCTCCTGGCAGCTTGTTCTTGTACTGCAGCAGAACTTCCGGTTGCAAGGAACAAGCTCTTGAAAATATGTTCATTAAATGTCATACTGCATGTAACATGATGTTCTTTTGCTTACACAAAAAAGGCTATCAAAATAGTCTCAGTGCTTGCTCTAATCCACATTTAGATTTGAAGGCAAAAAATATAATATAAACAAGTATTTCTCTTAATGAAGACTTAATAATACTGAAAGAGAGTTCCAACAAGTCTTGTGACAGTGACTGTCTGAACTTTGGAATTAAGACAGTGACTACTTCTTGCTTGATCCTCTTTATTTTATCACTTTCGACATCATCTGTTTATCTTGTCAACACAAGAACAGAAGAAATGCACGCTCCCATAAACAACCTTCGGCATAAGTACCATACATACAGCTTTGAAATGCTTTCAGAGATAGGCATGTTATAAATCTTTTCGGCAAAGCTCCTTGTGTTAACACCTTGTAGCCAGCACGAGTCAGTGATTGATACTACAGCACTGGTGCGCCATACATTTCAGCAAAGCAGGCCATCAATTCTCATGTTACATAAGAACCAGAAAAGACAGCAGTACAAAGCCATTGTTTTCCTTAGGGATCACACATGACATTTTCTAGCGGCAGGTCCATTCAGATATATGTTTACTGTCAAAGAGTCCAACTGTGCATAGAGCTGGGAACTTAGTAAATGGGTATATTTTGTAAGAAATGATGACTATTTTGGTGTAAGCCTGTAACTTTAAGGTAGAACTATCATAAATACACTAGATGAAAAGCATATTTCTTGTTTGACGTTTGACATTTGAAGCAGTAAGACAGACACTATGTACAGTATTTACAGGACCATTGTACCAGGGAAATTCCCCTAGCTATTTTCGACAAGCACAATAAATAGTGGACCATGGCTTAATGTCCCGTCCTAAGGACTGCAACTCTTTACAGTAGCATGCATGTCGGGTGAGCAACAACAGCCGGGATTCGAACTCCCAACCTCTTGGTTCAAAGGCAGGGTCCCTAACCATTTGACTATGCATTCTACTACAGTCAAACCTGTACTAGCGGTCACCTTGGCATTGCGGTCACCCGGCCATAGCGGTCGGTTTTTGCCGGTCCCTTGAATTTCTCCCATTGACGTAGGCATTAAGAATCGCGTATATAGCGGTCACTGTTCAACGCGGTCAGCGGTCACCCCATTCCGGTCCCGCCGGCTGTCAACATCGCCGATAGCGGTCACGGCTGGCCGGCCGTTACCCGCAAAGCACCACGTAACGTTACGTAACACCACCCGTGCACCCGACCTCGGGCTACGGCCGTTAGGACGTTCAATCAAGCCTTGT